TCCCTGAAGATCTCCAAATAACGAAAAAAAGCCAATAATTACCGGCAGCGCGCCTAATTAAAAAAATGGAATAACGTGTAAATCAAAACAAAATAAACCATGACATAAGAGACATTATCTCGACGGGCAATCTAATAATCAATAAATCCACCGATGTGCATCACTCAGTACTCCAGGTGCAATCCCACCACTTACTGGACTGGAGCTCACTGCATCAAAATGAGCACCTGTTTTTTGGGGTAGGTTTTTATAATGCACTGATATACCAGCTTTTCTCAACCTTTTCACCCCAGAGGAACCCTTGAAATAATTATCAGGTCTCAGGGAACCTCTAGTAAGTGTAGTCTATCAAGGGTCATTGGGAAAATGCCCCTTACATTGGTGGTGGGAAGTGTGGAGAGCCCTTCACTTACAAGAGTGGCCAGAACAGGGGCGGATTGACCATTTGGAAACTCGGGCACCGCCCGAGGGCCCGGGGTCAGTAGGGGGCCCCATGAGATGCCCCGGGTACCTTTTTCATAGGCTTTTTTGAGTTTGGGCAAGGACACAGGGGCCCCATGATCCCCTAATGCCCGGGGGCCCCATGAGTTGTCTGTCCGCCCCTGGGGCCAGAATGAACACTCTTGGCCTGTCAAGTGGTGTTAGATTTGGAACTATCCAGTCACCATCATACGGGAGGTCAGTAAGCCAAAGTACAAGGACCCGTTAGCAATCCCTGGAGGAACCCCAGGGTTCCACAGAACCCTGGTTGAAAATGGCTGTATTATACTATGAGGGGCCTCTTTTCTGTTTCCTAAGCATAGCAAATCTATGCTCACCAGCCACTTTATTTGGTCCACCTTGCTAGTGCCAAGAAAATATACCCCACGCCATTACACCACCACCACCAGCCTGAACCATTGATACAGGGCAGAATGGATCCATGCTTTCATGTTGCTTACACAAAATTCTGACCCTACCATCTGAATGTTGCAGCAGCCAGTCTTACACCACCACCACCAAAACCACCACCAGCCTGAACCATTGATTCAAGGCAGGATGGATCCATGCTTTCATGTTGCTTACACAAAATTCTGACCCTACCATCTGAATGTTGCAGCAACCAGTCTTACACCACCACCAGCAAAACCACCACCAGCCTGAACCATTGATTCAAGGCAGGATAGATCCATGCTTTCATCTTGCTTACACAAAATTCTGACCCTACCATCTGAATGTTGCAGCAACCAGTCTTACACCACCACCAGCCTGAACCATTGATACAAGGCAGAATGGATCCATGCTTTCATGTTGCTTACACAAAATTCTGACCCTACCATCTGAACGTTGCAGCAACCAGTCATACACCACCACCACCACCAGCCTGAACCATTGATTCAAGGCAGGATGGATCCATACTTCCATGTTGCTTACACACAATTCTGACCCTACCATCTGAATGTCGCAGCAACCAGTCTGCCCATTCTCCCCTGACCTTTGACATCAATAAGGCATTTTTGTCCACACAACTGCTGCTCACTGGATATTTTTTCGTTTTCAGACCATTCTCTGTAAACTGTAGAGATGACTGTGCATGAAAATCCCAGTAGATCAGCCGTTTTTGAAATACTCAAACCAGCCTGTCTGGCACCAACGACCATGCCATGTTCAAAGTCAATTAAATCCCCTTTCTTCCCCATTCTGATGCTCGGTTTGAACTTCAGCAAGTCTTCTTCACTACGTCTACATGCCTATATGCATTGAGTTGCTGCCATGTGAGTGGCTGATTAGCAATTTGTGTTACCAAGCAGTTGAACAGGTTGTACCTAATAAAAGTGGCAGGTGAGTTTATATTCTGATACAGGAATGTGCTGATTTGTCAGTAGGATATCAATTTACATCAAGTTCAAGACCATAGAGAAGACATTCTCATCTGGAATTCTTTCAGAATGTTGCTAAGGGTTCCTTGAGCTGTGGCTGATTGACTTCCCATTGGATGATGCCTGTACAGTTCTAGGCCAATGCCACTTAAAAGCAGTGTCATGACACAAGTGGACAACTAAACTGTCTGTAAGGGTGGCATTCCCAATTCCAGATCTAATCCCTATCTACTGGACTGAAGCTCACTGCATCAAAATAAGCAGCTGTTTAGAGGTAAGTTTTTTTTTTTATAATATATGGCATTATGAGGAGTCTTGTTTCTCTTTCCTGAGCATTGAACACCTATATACTGGTACATGAATGTGCTGATTTGTCAGTGTTATATCCATCTACATTGAGATCCAAGACCATACAGGAGACATTCTCAATCAGAATTCCTCCAGATGGTTGAAAGGGGCTCCTTGAGCTGTGGTTGATTGACTTCCCATTGGATGACGCCTGTATAGTTCTGGGGCTATAGCCACTTAAAAGCAGCAGGATGACACCAGTGAACTTTTTAGCTGTCTCTAAGGGTGGCATTCTCCATTCCAGGTCTTAATTCACCACTTACTGGACTTGAGCTTAGAGCATAAATATGACCACCTGTTTAGGGTTTTTTTTTCAATAATAAACATATGACAATATGAGGAGCCTTTTTTCTCTTTCATGAGCATTGCAAACCTTTATGCTGAATTATTGGTGGGATATCTATCTACATGGAGTTAAAGACCCTTAGAGTAGATATTCTCAAATGAGGCTCCTCAAGAAGGTTGCTAAGGGTTTCTTGATCTGTGGCTGTTTGACTTGCCATTTGATGGTATCTCTATAGTTCTGGGGTCAGTGCCATGAAAAAAACAGTGGCATGCCACCAGTGAACCTTTTAGCTGTCTCTAAAAGTGGTGACTGGAGCCCACCTCAACAAAATGAGCACCTGTTTAGAAGTAAGTTTTTTATAATAAACATATTATATCATAAGGGGCCTCTTTTCTCTTTCCTGAGCATTGGACATATATATATGCTGGTACAAAACAAGCTGATTTGCTAGTGGAATATCTTTCTACATGGAGTTCAAGACCATAGAGAAAACATTCTCAACCAGAATTCCTTCAGAAGGTTGCAAAGGGTTCATCGAGCTGTGGCTAATTGACTTCCTATTGGATGACACATGTATAGTTCTGGGGCCAATGCCACCTCAAAGCACCAGCATGACACCAATTACCTTTTTTTGCTGTCTCTAAAAGTGGCATTCTCCATTCCAGGTTTAATCTCACCACCTACTAGACTAGAGCTCACCGCATTAAAATAAACACCTGTTTGTCAGGGCTCCCAGGTATGACCAGAGGTGTGTGACTGATGCAGGGAAACGCAGACTTCAGATATGTGATAAACAATACAATTTATTAACACTAACAATACAAACATAAACGCAGTGCAATACTAAACATAATACAGTGCAAACAAACCAACCACCCACAGATAACAGTACATACAAGCAAGCGTCGTCAGGCAGGCCGGGTCAATATCAATTGGGCAGGTAGGTACAGGGGGAGCAAGCAGAGAATGGTCGGGGTCACAGGCCAGGTTCAGCAGGTAGCAAGCAGCGTAGTACGAGGGTCAGGCAGAGAGATGGTCAGGGTCACAAGCCAGAGATCAAAACAGGTAACAAGCAGCGTAGTACAGAGGGTCAGGCAGAGGGACAGAAACAGGATGCAGGACAGATACAGGGCCCAGGACAAACACAAACACCAAGGCAGAGTCTGGGGGTCTGGCCATCCCTTAAATACCCCAGCATCATCAGTTCCAGGTGTTAGCTGGCTGAAAGGTTGAGTCTCTGATTGCTGGGAGCACCCGCTGGCCAGCCCTGGTACTGCAGATCAAAAGGCAGGTGAGTCCCACCATTGCTGGCCAGTCCATTCCTAACAGTACCCCCCCCCCCCCAAGGAGCGGCCTCAGGACGCTCCAAACAGTCCTAGCTGGGCAAAATGTTCCACCGCCCAGGTCTGGTAAACTGGCGGGATATCAAAGACTGGCACACCGGGCAGGACTCCCGGGCAGCGGCACACCGGGCTGGACTCCGGGCAGCGGCACACCGGGCTGGACTCCGGGCAGAGGCACATCGAGCAGAGGCACATCGGGCAGAGGCACATCGGGCAGGACTCCGGGCAGAGGCACATCGGGCAGAGGCACACCGGGCAGAGGCACACCGGGCAGAGGCACACCGGGCAGAGGCACACCGGGCAGGACTCCGGGCAGAGGCACATCGGGCAGAGGCACATCGGGCAGGACTCCGGGCAGAGGCACATCGGGCAGGACTCCGGGCAGAGGCACATCGGGCAGGACTCCGGGCAGAGGCACATCGGGCAGGACTCCGGGCAGAGGCACATCGGGCAGGACTCCGGGCAGAGGCACACCGGGCAGGACTCCGGGCAGAGGCACACCGGGCAGAGGCACATCGGGCAGGACTCCGGGCAGAGGCACATCGGGCAGGACTCCGGGCAGAGGCACATCGGATTACCAGGCGAAGCAGCAGGCAGCGGGCCACCAGGCGGAGCAGCAGGCACCGGGCCCCCGGGCGGGGCGACATGCTCCGGGCCCCCGGGCGGAGCAGCAGGCACCGGGCCCCCGGGCGGAGCAGCAGGCACCGGGCCCCCGGGCGGCAGCAGCAGGCACCGGGCCCCCGGGCGGAGCAGCAGGCACCAGGCCCCCGGGCGGGGCGACCGGCGTCGGGCCCCCAGGCGGGGCGGCGGGCGCCGGGCCCCCAGGCGGGGCGACAGGCTTCGGGCCCCCAGGCGGGGGCGACAGGCATCGTGCCCCCAGGCGGGGCGACCGGCGTCGGGCCCCCAGGCGGGGGGCGACCGGCGTCGGGCCCCCAGGCGGGGCGACAGGCATCGGGCCCCCAGGCGGGGCGACAGGCATCGTGCCCCCAGGCGGGGCGACAGGCATCGTGCCCCCAGGCGGAGCGGCGGGCGCCGGACCCCCAGGCGGAGCGACAGGTCTCGGGCCCTCAGGCGGAGCGGCGGGCGCCGGACCCCCAGGCGGAGCGACAGGTCTCGGGCCCTCAGGGCGGAGCGGCGGGCGCCGGACCCCCCAGGTGGATCGACAGGTCTCGGGCCCTCAGGCGGAGCGGCGGGCGCCGGACCCCCAGGCGGAGCGACAGGTCTCGGGCCCTCAGGCGGAGCGGCGGGCGCCGGACCCCCCAGGCGGAGCGACAGGTCTCGGGCCCTCAGGCGGAGCGGCGGGCGCCGGACCCCCAGGCGGAGCGACAGGTCTCGGGCCCTCAGGCGGAGCGGCGGGCGCCGGACCCCCAGGAGGAGCGACAGGTCTCGGGCCCTCAAGCGGAGCGCGGGCGCCGGACCCCCAGGCGGAGCGACAGGTCTCGGACCCTCAGGCGGGAGTGGCGGGCGCCGGACCCCCAGGCGGAACGACAGGTCTCAGGCCCCCAGGCGGGGCGGCGGGCACCGAGTCACCAGGCACAACCGTGGGCTCCGAGTCAACTGGGATGACCGCTGGCACTGGGTCAGACATTGGATCGTCTGGCTGGACAGCGGGCATCGGGTCACCAGGCATCAGGTCATTTGGCTCGACAGCGGGCACCGCGTCATCTGGCAAGGCAGTGGGCTCCGAGTCAACAGGCACGACAGTGAGCACCGGGTCATCAGGTACCGGATTGTCTGGCTCGACAGCGGGCATCGGGTCACCAGGTATGACAGCGGGCACTGGGTCACCAGGCATCAGGTCATTTGGCTCGACAGCGGGCACCGGATCAGGTACCGGATCATCTGGATCAACAGCGGGCATCGAGTCAACTGGCCTAATAGGATCGTCAGGCTGGATCAGTTCATCATGCTGGGTAGAGGCATCAGGCTGAATGCCGGCGTCCGGCCCGAGTAGAGGCTTCAGGCCGAGTAGAGGCTTCAGGCCGAGTAGAGGCATCAGGCCGAGTAGAGGCTTCAGGCCGAGTAGAGGCTTCAGGCCGAGTAGAGGCTTCAGGCCGAGTAGAGGCATCAGGCCGAGTAGTAGAGGCATCAGGCTGAGTAGAGGCATCAGGCTGCGTTACCGGCATCAGGCTGCGTACCGGCATCAGGCTGCGTACCGGCATCAGGCTGCGTACCGGCATCAGGCTGCGTACCGGCATCAGGCTGCGTACCGGCATCAGGCTGCGTACCGGCTTCAGGCTGCGTACCGGCATCAGGCTGCGTACCGGCATCAGGCTGAGTAGAGGCTTCAGGCTGAGTAGAGGCTTCAGGCTGAGTAGAGGCTTCAGGCTGAACCACGGAAGGCAGGCTCACTGGTTTGGATACTGGCAGGATGGTATTGGTTGGAAAGAATTTTCGCTTTTTTTCTGGTTTTAACTACTGGAGCACTGCAAGTAAACGCAGGTCTGCAAACGAATGGAGCAGCTGGAGACAGAGAAGAACTGGAGGATGGAACAGGAGAGGGAGCAGTTGCTACAGAGGGGCTCTTTTACAGGGTTAAAGGCAGGATAGGTGCAGCGAGTGGGAACAGGGTACTGACATGCGGTAGATAGCAGGGCAGGAGGAGCTGTTGGGAATGCAGGAATAGAGTTTTGAGGAAATAGATTAGAAGCAGGACTGGGTCTTTGTAAGCTGACTGAGGCTGGGTGCAACAAATCTGTCCATGTCTGCAGTATGGGTTGAACAAAGCTGAGCTTACACAAAGTCTGTCTGGTCAATGACTGCACTGCATTTATACAATCTCTTAGTGTCTGTGGTGAACATGTGGAATAACGCTCCAGAAAGTAACCCACATCATCCTCTAATAACCACACCAGGGACTCTACCTGGTCTGCACTAAATGGTGGCAAAAATTCATCCCTGCATTCGGGGGAACCAGATGAAACCAACTCAGCACAAACCTCAATCAAAGCTGCACCTCAGAGAACTCTGTGCCCTGATCTACTAGAACATGAGCGAGCCGTATACATTCTAGCAGTTCATCCCGGGTATACTCCTTCAGAGTTTGATAAGCATACTCCCTGTCATCAAACACTAGCAGATATAAATATTCAACCTCATCAAGATCCATCCTTCCCATCAACAAGCCAAGATGGCTTCCCTGTGCAGCCACTTCTGGTCAGGATTGGCCTTGGTGTAATGTCAGGGCTCCCAGGTATGACCAGAGGTGTGTGACTGAAGCAGGGAAACGCAGACTTCAGATATGTGATAAACAATACAATTTATTAACACTAACAATACAAACATAAACGCAGTGCAATACTAAACATAATACAGTGCAAACAAACCAAACCAAACCAAACCACCCACAGATAACAGTACATACAAGCAAGCGTCGTCAGGCAGGCCGGGTCAATATCAATTGGGCAGGTAGGTACAGGGGGAGCAAGCAGAGAATGGTCGGGGTCACAGGCCAGGTTCAGCAGGTAGCAAGCAGCGTAGTACAGAGGGTCAGGCAGAGGGATGGTCAGGGTCACAAGCCAGAGATCAAAACAGGTAACAAGCAGCGTAGTACAGAGGGTCAGGCAGAGGGACAGAAACAGGATGCAGGACAGATACAGGGCCCAGGACAAACACAACACCAAGGCAGAGTCTGTGGGTCTGGCCATCCCTTAAATACCCCAGCATCATCAGTTCCAGGTGTTAGCTGGCTGAAAGCTTGAGTCTCTGATTGCTGGGAGCACCCGCTGGCCAGCCCTGGTACTGCAGATCAAAAGGCAGGTGAGTCCCACCATTGCTGGCCAGTCCATTCCTAACACTGTTTAGGGATAAGGTTTTTTTTTTAATCAGAAACATATGACACTATGAGGAGCCTCTTCTCTTTCCTGAGGATTGCAAACCTACTGTATATGTTGGTACAGGAATTGTTGGTGAGATATACCTCTATGAGGACCACTGGGAAGGCATTCTCAACCGGGGTTCCTCCAGAAATTTGCTAGGGGTTCCTTGAGCTTTGACTGATTGACTTCTTTTTGGATGACGCCTGTATAGTTCTGGGGTATGACACCAGTGAACATTTAATCTGTCTCTAAGAATGGCATTCTACATTTCAGGTCTAATCCCACCGCTTACTGGACTGGCTATTTAGGGGTACGTTTTTTAGACTAAACATATGGCACCAGGGGTTCCTTGAGCTTTGGCTGACAGCCTTTCTCAATCTTTTTGTTCCAGAGGAAGCCTTGAAATAGTCCCTTTTCAGACACAAATGGGTCAGACACAACATGTGATCTAGGGTCAGATGGAAGAATTCTTCTTACACTGGTGGTCAGTGGGAATTATGCCCTTTACTTTGGTGGTCAGTGGGAATTGTGCCCTTTACTTTGGTGATCAGTGGGAATTGTGCCCTTTGCTTTGGAGGTCAGTGGAAACTATGCCCTTTACAATGGTGATCAGGAGAAAGAATGTCCGTTACATTAATGGTCAATAAGAAGAATGCTCAGTACATTGATAATCGGTGGGAAAAATGTTGCTAACATTCTTGGCCAATTTTCAAAGTGCAGTTTTTGTGGTGGAGATCAAGATGCTGTCTTTGCAGCCTGTGTAAAGCACTGTTTAACTGCTGCATATGTATATTGCTGAATACTGCTGAATGTACCGAGGGGCCAGGAATGTGCCCAGGCTAAGAAAAACACAGGGGATGCCAATGCTGTTCTCTTTCTGGAAATATTAATTGCTTGGCCGCCTGTGCTTTTGCTGCATTCACTATCCTGTATTAGGCATGCAGTCAGTAAAGGATTTAATAAGTGTGTTAATGTGGCACTCCTCCTCTCTGAGTAGTTAAGGATGATTACCTAGATGGTGTGGCAGGTTACCATTAAAAATTCTTAGGGAGGGATCTTTGTTTTTTCTACATGAACTTTGGAGAGTAGGTTAGCGGCACAGGATACTCAAAAATGAGACAATATTTCAGGCCTTCTAGCCCCCAGCAGAATTATAAGAGGCACTTTAAGAACACCTTCTAATAGCAATTGACCCTTTGCTAGCAATCACAGACCCCAGTGATGTGTCCATGCAATATACACCTGCAACAACTTCTCCAAGTGTCCATCAAACTCTTCTCCATAACACATAATTAAAGATGCTCCATACTGGTTTATGTTCCACAGTAAACTTTAACAAATATATGCCATACAGGTATCCACTTTCCATAGTAGACTTTCCCAAAGATACTCCATATAGGGAGCCACTTTAAATAGTAGGTTATCCCAAAGACTCTCCATACAGTTAAACAGTTTCCATAGTAGCAGACTTTTCCTATACGGGTAGCCACTTTCCATTGTAGACTTTCCCAAATATACTCCAAACAGATAGTCAAGTTCCATGGCAGACTTTCCCAAAGATGTTCCATACTGGTAGTCACTTTCCGTAGCAGACTTTCCCAAAGATAATCCATACAGGGAGCTACTTTCCATAGTAGACTTTCCCAAAAAAGCTCCATACAGATAACCACTTTCCATAGTAGTAGACTCTCCCAGATATACTCCATGTAGGTAGCTACTTTCAATAGTTGACTTTTCCAAAGATGCTCCATATAGGTAGCACTTTCCAAGTAGACTTTGCCAAAAGATGCTCCATACAAGTAGCCACTAGACTTATATTACAGTTTTCCATAATAGACTTTATTACAGTTTCTCCATACAGGTAGCCACTTTCAATAGTAGACCTTCCTAAAGATGCTCCATACAGATAGTCAGTTTCCATAGTAGTAGACTTATACAAATTTTCTCCATACAGGTACTCATCTCCCATAATAGACTTTCCCTGAAGATGCTTCAAACAGGCAGCCATATTCCTGATTTCACAATCAGAGATGCTCCATACAGTTCGTCTTCTCCATGATTCTTTGAAAGATGCTCCACACAAGTAGCCATCTCTTGCTCCAACTGTTTCTAGATGTGTTTCTTCAACAAAGCAGCAGCAGCAGCAGCAGAGTTCCTAAGGCTTTAGCACAAGCCCCAACTGGGGCAAGGTCCAAGACAAAAAAGAGCTCTTTCCAGTGGCATCTTCAGCAGTCAAAAGCCCAGAAGGGACAAACCCTTCTAGAAAGATGCTCCAAATATTTATCCTCTCCCCTTAGCTCACATCACTGGATTAAAACACTCAGCAACTGATCAAGGCAGATAATATTTTATAACATTTACAAGTCCATTTGCTGCATTAATTTGTATATGTTATATTTGCCTAGTGCAGTGTTTCTCAGCCTTTTTCAGTTACCGTATACTGCATCTTTTGAAAATATGCAAAATCTTGAGGTACCCTGGTCTAAAACAAGGGGTCCCTGGTCACATCAGAATCCCCCTTTCACATAAAAATCCGCAGTCCCCCTCATCTTTCATATCAGGGTCCCAAAGTCCCCCCTTTTCACATCAGAGTACTCAGCTCCTCCCCCTTTCACATCAAGGTTCTCAGTTCCTCCTCTCCATTTCACATCAGGGTCCTCAATTCCTAC